GGCACTCTGGTACTAGAACCAGAACAGGGCCAATGTGGCTTAAAAAATAGAGCTTTGGTCGTGGGAATTAATGGCAGAGCAGATAATGCAGCAGCGAGCTTTAAAAGTCATGCATTGCCTCTGGAAAAGCTCTGATTTACACACAAAAATAAACATGTAGCTAAAACAATCCTCACAGTTCAGTCTGAGCTGTGAAAATATAATTTTGAATAAAATATGTTGCTGCCATGTTAATTTTCCTTTCACATCACACATTAATACTATTCCACTTTATGCACAACTGTTCTTATGTATTAAATTATAAAGAGCAAATCTAAGCCATTAAAGATAAACATATCAATGCATTTTCTTACTTTTTCAGGCTTTATTTTAATAATTGATTGTGACCATACATGAATTTGTACATTTACATGACCTTTTTTATCGAAGGGTCTCAACATAGAATCAAATCTTGTTGCAAAATGATAAATTGAAGGGAAACCATTAAGGCTTTTTAATGTGCAATTTTTAATGCCTTCATTCAGTTCTCTTTGCATTGTTCCAGATGATATTCTAAATCATGTTAGACATAATTTCTGTTTACCTCGCTGGCTAATACTGAGTGTATATATTCCATCTGCTGCAAATTTAGATGCTCTGATTGTTTTTTCTATGGATATAATTTTCTCTGCATATCATTGTTGATGCAAGCGCCATAATTATCTGTGATGCCAACCTGGGGTTCATTCTCTCTGATTTGTTTTATATATATACTGCAGCAGAGCTTGACACAGATGCAGAATCAGCGCGCTTGTTTTTCTTTTATGACGGATCGCTTCTGTTAGAAGTCAAACATGCAGAGCTAATGCTCACAATTAACAGTGGATTCTGCACTTTACATTGTAGCACCACCGAGGTGTGAAAGGTTTCTTGGTCTCAGCTGTATTGTTTACCAGCTTTTCCTTACAACAGATGTTGCAGTAGCAAAAAGCATTCCTACAAGAGCGATTATTCCTGTTGTGGAGCACAAACTGAAACACAGAAGCATACAATTTCTTTTTAGTACCTGCCAAAGCAATGCAAAGGAGCATTGCCATGGCATTCCATGCTCCTTCTCATTGCATGGAGAAACCTATTATCATTCTGTGAATTAAAAGGACTCTTTATGCCTTTATTTTACCTTTATATGTTTATTCTTCTTATATCAATGTTAATTTTGCTCAACTAAAACCAGTTTCTTGAAATAAGAGTACCACAGCCTTTTCACAACACGTCCCACTGCAAATTTCAAAATAAAAGTCTCCATTTCCACTGTTATGAAGCCTCTATTAAATTAATAACGGGAAAAAAAATAACGAATAAACAATTGAAAATGGACTCCATATCACTGCTGAGTCTTACTGTATCCTTAATAAAAAAAAACCTGCAAGACTTTCAAAATAAGAAATCATGTACTCTATCAAAGAAAAAGCCTTAACATTATACACAGCAAGTCATAGAGGCATATGGCTAAACATTAACACCCAAACTCAATCACTTTAGCAAATTAGACGAACACGGCCTTTTCGGAAAAGCCTTTTCTGACAGGCGCCACCACGAAGTATGGCGGCGCTAGTTGGTACCAAGTATGGAGACATAAGTTGCCATAAGGTTTTCACACTCCTCATATGAGCTGAATCCAACTATTCCCATGAAGCCTTTGCTGCCAGTATAACAACTACGCACCAAGTGGCAGGCAGCTTCAAAATTTCCTTGGGGAACTTTGTAGTTCACTCATTATTCCTGCCTGATGAAAGCCAACAGTAGATCAATCTGCTTCACCATGTTTACCTTAAGAAATTTTATTGGGTGGCATAGATATTATGCCATGCATTTCTTCCTTAGCCTGCAGCATTGCTCGAGCTGCAGGATGTCTTTGGAAGGTTGATAACTGTGCAAGATGACCAGCATAAAACATGACAGAAATAAACAGACCAGAGGCATTTATTGATCAGCACATGTGCAGTCCACCAAAGGGAAGGGTCAGGATTATAAGGGGCACTTGTGCTGTTATTGGTAACATTCATCAGACACATAATTAACTAGTCTAATTTTCCAAACAATGAATATGGTCAGTTAAACCTTCATGCTGGTCCTTAAGGAGGTAGGATTGTCTGCCCAGTCATCTTTTATCAAGGTTATGAGACCATGATATGTGTCTAATAACTCTTTATACATTTTTATATAATATATTATTTTGATAACATTTTCTTTTGCAACTGTAAATCTGATGAGTTTTAGAACCTGTAGCTAATATCCACCTAAACCCACAGACAGTTTGTGGCTTTAGGTAAAGGTCATCTTAGTCGTCCAGCTGGAAAACACAACTCTAGTATTCTCATTTCAGAAATACTTTTCAACATGATATTTAATCCCACTCTCTACGCTCAGCATATGAATGGCCTTATATTGAAATGTTGTAGCTACACTCTTTAATGCCATTTTCAAACCATTATCAAACTTGGCCATTGATTTCTAAAAAGTTTTGGTTCAATATTGTGTTGCGTAAAACAGGACCACATATTCTGCTGTGGGAATTCTTGGGAATGTTATATCTGAGTGTAGAGAGTAAAGCTATCATGTTGGCAACTTGTTAGGAGGAAACTTGCTAGAGACACAGCATTGCGTGGGAAGTGTTTACTGAGATTACATGAGTTATGAGGAATTTCATGTCTCAACCTATCAAAGAATTTAGTTTTTTTCACGATGGGAACAAAAAATGTTCCTTTTAACAAGCACGAGCTGCATTACTGTGCTGTGTTAGAAAAGGACCCTGAAAGCCCTCTGCTGCAGCAATCTGCAAGGCAGAGAGGAATATCAAAGGCTTAGAGCTGGTGATTGTGGTCAAACAATTGTATCTCAAGTGATGAATCATAATGAGGAAACAGTAGAAAAGAAACATTACTTTCTACGGGAAATAACTAAATAGATATACAATTTGAGTGGCTGAGTTCAAACAAACCACATTTTCTCTCATAGAAAATAAAACTTTACTTGTATTGTCAGTTATTGTAAAGATTGTTTTGCTTTTACAAGATCACCAGTGGTACAGTTGTTGATATTGCTTTTAAATGATAAAAACAAACAAAAAATGTTTACCTTAAACTTTTATAAGTTATATTTTACTTTTTCAGAATTGTTAAAAGTTTCTTGGAATTTAAATCAGTGAGACTTTTTTGTCTGGTGAACCATGTGTCGGAAAATGCATCATGTTGGTTTGGTGTGAAACAAAAAATAGATACTAAAAAACAAAAACAAAACAAAAAACACATGTCCACTGCTAAGCATAGTAGGGGGTCTGTGTTGCTGTGGGACAGCTTCTTTTCAGAAATTCCTAGGACCATTTTCAATTTTATGTCATTGTGTTTTCTACCAGAAAATGTACGATATAAATCTGGTTTATTCTCTGCCTTTGATTGTTCAACACTTTGATAGCAACCTGCTATTTTTTAATTGTGCTTTCGTTATATATTAGCTGACTTGGCTGAATAAGCATATCTTCCTGCTTTTTACACATCTTTATCAAGAATGGAAGGACTGCATGTTTCTAAGTTAGTTTGCAAACAACCACTCATTTACATACATTTTTAAGCAGTTTGTGCATTTTGTACAAAAAGAACAACATGGGTGCATATGTAACTCCAGTTGTTTTATAGAATGTAGAACTTCACACAGTGCAATTTCCTTTGGACATTTCAAACATTTCAATTTCTCATGTTTTATTGGATTTTTATTTTTTGTATTTTATTGTCTTTCTGTTCTACTAAAGAAACAAATTTAAAGAAATAACACTTTTACTACCCAAACCCATTGCTGAAATGACTCATAACGCTGCATATCCTGTGAGCGCACAAAAAATAATCAGAAATGCTCCATTTGCGTGGATGTGTCTAGCAACAGTAATTTGTGGCCTGCCAGGGTTGCTATTTACAATAATTTACTCTGCAAATGAATAGAACACAGACTGGTCTACCTGACCTTTCTTTCAAATCATATTTCCTGCTGCTAATCATCTTGAGTTCACAACCGCAGGTTCTAAAAAGACAAGCCCGACTGTGTTATCAATACTCATTTATAGGACTCCTCTGAAGTTTCCTTTTCATTTTATATAGGTATCAAAATGTTCTTCATATCATCTACTAAAATGCTGACCTTTAAGGAATTGCTTTGGCGAGATTCTATTAAAAGGTTACAAGACAGAGCGACCAGGACCATCATATGTATTTAGGAAATGAGTTGTCACAATAGTTTACTACTACTGTGTGAAAAACATGCTAAGAATGAAACAAGGTGATTCTGGTTCCCCATGCCCGCCAAAAATGATCTAGTAAATGGGGAAAGGTTTAATGTTTCTTTCATAAACAATACTGCACATTTTAGGGTAATCCACACCTTAAATAATGTCATCATATAAATATAGGCATCTAAATCTAAACAAATAAAATCTTTAACTAAAAAAATGTATTTATTTATTTATTCATTTATTTATATATATATTTTTTTACCTTTGATATCTCTTGAAACTCAGAATCTATTCAAGCAAATATAATTATGCTTTTCAAACATGTTACAATCATTTTAGATGAAAATATTGATTTTGTTTTTAATAGGTTCTTTTTCTAAACTGGTAACTCCTCAGATCTTTTGTTCCAGGTACATTCATTTTGAGAAGGAGAAATCATTTGTGGCAGACCCCATACAAATGTTTCAATGGCGTAGTTTAAAAAAAAATTATTCTCATAAACACTGTAACATTTTTTAGACTAATGTCATAAGAGATGGGACCATTTGACCATCTTGAAGTAGACGACAGCTCTTAGCTGCTCTGAATTCTTTCAGAATGATGATGTCAACAGCATTAACAACTGCCAGATGTTAACCACATAACTTCATTTCAAAAGCCCAGATTTATCTCTAAAAATGAGAGACTGTTAATCACAGTTATGGCCAAAATGCTTCACAAAAGACAAAAACAGCATTACTTTCTCTTACAGTGTGTTTAAGAGGAATTTGACATTTTTTTAATTATCAGTCTTAAAATGCTTCAGTTTGGCAATATGCAAAAATAACGAGTTTACAGGTTAGTGAAACCTCACAATCTTCAGGCTGACATTTCAGAATTGAATCAGTATTCTTTAAATGTTTGAATAAGGCCAAGAAAGCCACAGTCGGTGATAGTAAACTGTTGCCAATGATGAAAAGAAAACGTACAGGATACTGACTGTCCGCTGCTACAAATGTCCTACATGTATTACTCTTATTTTGTAATTTTAAAACCTCTGTGTGCTCGTTTTTTTATCACCATCCACTCCTTCTGCAGTGGAAATCTGCAGTTGGATCACCTGAGGCCAAAGCTGGAGCTGAGAGACACTAACTGCATACAACACCCCTTATTTCTTAACCTCAGGACTCCTTGCACACGCTGCTGTACAGTTTAGACCCTGAAGATTAGTCGAGTATTCACAGCTGAATGTTGTCTCATATTTACATGATTACAATCTCTTTTTCTTTTTTTTTTTGCAGGAGTCAGTGAAAATATACAGTCTTAAATAGTAATATTACCCTTCTCTATTTAATGTATAAATGTTCAGGCAAGTTATAAGATAGAGACTTTGATAGTGATAAACCACAATAACTTATATTGCACACAAACTTTTCATCATAAAGAATAAGACAATTGAAGTGCCATGAACTCATTATCTTACTAAGAAAAGCACATAGTCAAATACTTATATTACTTCAGGCTTCCTGCAATATTTTTCTGCATGCTCTTCCCAAGAAATTCTTCCAGAGACCCATGTTGCTAATCGCAAGAGCTTTGTAGTCTTGTGCTTTAATCCATCAGTCTCATCAAATTACATTCAAATAAGAAGGGAGCCTACTTGTCCATCCAGTTTTCTCATTTGTTTTCTCATTTGTTTAGGATGCGTTCTGTTCCGTGAAATGGGAAAAATTGTATGTTTGCTGAGGTGTTTTAATCTTCTGCTCCTCCTGGAGTGTCTGTGGAGGCTGCTGCTGCAGTTCAAGTGGAGGATAAGATTTAAAGTCCCCTATATGAGTGGGTTGCTGTGGAGAGGACGACGGCGGTCCCATATTAGTCATGTCTTTTCTGTCACTTTGCTGGAAGTCCAGCATCTGCGTCTTCTTGCAGCAGAAGTACTGCTGCAAAATTTTATGAAATGCGGTGCGAAACTTTTTGATCCGAAAAGCATAAACGATTGGATTTACAGCGGAGTTGCCATGGGTGAGCAGGATGGAGATGTAGAGCAGAACCTGCGGAGCAGCGTTTTTGCAGAAGAGTGTGATGCAGTTGATTATATGAAGAGGCAGCCAGCTAATGGCAAACAGGACAAGCACCAAAACCAAAGATTTGGCAAGATTCAACTCTTTGTCGTAGTACTTGTTGGGGTCTGAGTAGCTGGAGGTGATTTTCTTGTTGTTAAGCTGCTTGTGGATCATGTAAAAGATCTCAATATATATGACCAGCATCAGCAGCAGTGGCGGCAGCACCCAGCCGAAAAAGTTGAAGTAAACCATGTAGTCCATACCAATGACTTCTTCAAACCTGCAGGTGACAATAGGGTTCGAGCTGTTTGAGCCATTCTGCTGCTGATGCTCCTTTAGCTTGTTCCAGCCTAACATGGGTGTTAGTCCCACAATAAACGCCACAGTCCAGCATACCACCACAGCCAGAGCAGCACGCTGAGAGGTCACCACCCGCTTGTACCTGCCAAAAAAAAAAAAAAAAACAATATGTCAACATGTTTTTAGTGAAGCACTGATAGGACTTGAATGTTCTCTCTAATATAATATTAGTAATTAAGTAAAATTGTTGTGCAGAGATTAAAAGATGAATGTACAGTAAGTTAATGCACATAAACTGTTGACTAGTCAGCTTTGCAATTAACCTACATGCTGAACAATGAGTCATTTTCTCTGGAATATTGGCTAATCCAACTAATCAGGGTGAGGTAAACTGAGCTGAATGGAAGAGGCAGAAAAAACAAAGCTTTTTTCAGTGGTTGGTGGCCTCTTTCTCTGTGCAGATCTGTTCCCACAAAAATATATTAAATATAGCAAATCTCCATATCAGAGTCACTAACACTTCTATCATGGTTTTTTTCTTCTTCTTCTTCTTCAAAAAAAATATAATATATATATATTTATATCAATTCTGATCTTTTCTACATCAGGGGTCACCAGCCTTTTTAAGACTGAGGGCTATTTCATGGGCACTGAGTCATAGGACGGGCCACCAATACTGATCTACAGTATGAACTGGAGGAGTCAGCATTCCCTAAACTTATTCCTTCCATAGATGCTCATTAAGATTTAGGTCAGGGCTCATAGAAGGGCACTTCAGAATAGTCCAATATTTTCCTCTAAGCCATTTCTGAGTGTTTTGGGTCATTTTCATGGTGAAGACTTTCCATCACTGGACAGCACATTTTGCTCTAGAATCCCTTGATAGTCTTGAGATTCAATTCTACCCTTCAGAGATTCAAGAAACCCTGTACCAGATGAAGCAAAGCTGCCCCAGAACATAACAGGGCGTCCTCCATTTTTCATAGTACACATTATTTTCAGTCTTTTCTAAAGAAACCACTATTTTGGTCCAGGTCTGTTTTAAGAGTTCCTGTTTTTTAAAATTATTCTGTTTCAACATGGTTGACCTTCATTTGTTTATTTTCATATAATTTTTGTTTATTATTACTTTGATCAGATCGAAGTTATTTCTGGGACCATTTTAGTTTTTCTTTCATTAATAGAGGGATGCAAACTATTTTGTCCATGTGTGCATATTAAATTTGAAAGTATTATAACCAGACACATTTAAACAGAAAAACAACTTTTTATACTGTATCAAACATGACCTTAAATTATGCAACATCTAATGAGGATAAAATCAGACACATCTTCAAATTAATTCCCTCTTAAAATCTCTAAAATTACACACAGGTGTATGAAAACAGATGATCAATACCAAGCATTATCAATACTGAACACATTGTGATGGATATTTGTCTTGTTTCAACCTCAGACATTTGGTTTATTCCTGATTGTTGAGATCTGAGTTCACACTATAGTGAGATTTCTTAAAAGAGAACATTGTTGAAATTAGAGAGACTGGTAAGTGATTCAAAGTGGTATCAAAATATAATTGTTTGGACACCAGAAGACATGTTTCGCTTAAACAAAGCACACCAACTATCAGACACCGTAACTTATGCAACATCTAATGTGCAATTACCATTTAATACCCAGTGCAATAACCTGTTTTTATAGCTGAAACCCAGTGCAACAGTTATATATTTATATATATTAGGGGTGGAACGGTTCACAAAATCCACGGTTCGGTTCGGTTCACGGTTTCGTTCTCACGGTTTTCTGTTCAGTTCGATATATGTTTATTGTTACACCGAAAAATAAAAAAATTAATAAAAATTATAAAAATTTATGAAAAAATAGAAATTTATGAAATTAATGAAATTGTAATTATTTTTAATGATTGTGGAAACCATGGATCATTTCCGCATGTTTTGCTGCTTTGAATTTAATCATCTCGCGCATGCCCTCTACGATCCCCAAGGAACTCTGAGCGGAGCGGACGGGAGCCACAGTGGGGGCTGTAGGCTTTGCTTTGTGCTTTGTGTAGTAAGCAAGAAGAAGCGAAGCAGCTTAGCCGGGTGTCACAGGGAAAAAAATCAGTTGTTGTGTGGGACTGGCGAGTGGGAAAGAACAGAAGTTGGAAGACGCGCAAGCAGCACTTTATAGGTCTGCTGTATGGGACCGCTTTGCATTTAGAGTGACCTACAATGATGGCGGAAAGAAAGTTGTGGATAAAAGTGCAACAGTGTGCAAGCATTGTGCAACACGTTTTGTTTATGCTAACAGCAACATGACCAACATGTCATGCTAACCCCGAAATCCCTCATACTCCGTCAGCAAACCCCGCTGCGCTCCAGACCGGCTGCTCAAAGAAAAGCCTACAGCCCCCACTGTGGCTTCGTCCGCTCCCCTCTGAGTCCCTTGGAGATGGTAGAGAGCATGCGCGAGATGATTAAATTCAAAGCAGCAAAATATACGGAAATGATTCAGGGTTTCCGCGGATCATTTAAAATAATTACAATCCATTATTTTTGGGGGATTTTTTCATTAATTTCATTAATTTTTATGGGATTTCAGTGTAACAATGAACATATACCGAATCGAACCGAACCGAAAACCGTGACCACGAAACCGTGAATTGAACCGAACCGTGGATTTTGTGAACCGTTCCACCCCTAATATATATATATATATATATATATATATATATATATATATATATATATATATATATATATATATATATATATATATATATATATATATATACACTCTATATTCAGCCATGCACCTTTTCTTCCTTTGGCACCTTCTTCTTCTTTTTGAATATTTCAGCCGATGTAACAAGTAAATTTCTCCAACGTGAGATCAATAAAGTCAATCAATCAATCTGGTAGAATTACCCCAGGTGTTAACTGTTGCAGTGTAATTATCAAGGTTTGCTTTTCTGTTGCAGTGGCTATTTAGTTTAACATTTGAAAATTCACCATAATTTCTACCTAATAACAGAGGGTGATGGAGAAAAAATGTGAGACCATCTTCAAAATAAAAACAACTGAAAACTGAATCTCATAGAGATGCTGTATTGTGATATAATTAACACAAGGAACAGTAGTAAGAAGTACATAGACCTAAAGTAAGGACAGGGACAAACTTCCTTAGACCACTGCTAAAGAATGATAGAGGGCTGCAGTGTGTAGTACTGAACATATCGCCATCAATGGTGATAACCATAACTGCTGTCTGGTAGGGTGTCGTAACCTTTTCCAAAGAATTTGTGTCAATACCTCTTTAGGTAAAATAACGTTTTGTTGGATGTGTGAGTGCAATTACATAATGTTTTCTTTCGGCAAGATAAAGCACACATATGAAAATATTTTCAATTAAGAACTAAACAATTTGATGGGGTGTTTTTCATGAGGTTTCATGTGAGTATCAGATTTCATTCAAAACTAGATCTCACCTACGTTTCACTGATGTGATCTTGCCCTACATGCATACCTGTCATGGTTCAGGGATCTGTGTGAGTCTGTGTTTTTAGTCTGTTTTTTTTTCCCCCAGACTTCCATGAAGCTGCAGGTTCCCTGTAAGGGCGGCGCTGAGTGGTGTGTTCCCACACACCTGCTTCCTATTACCAATCTGCTGGAGCTTAACAGAAAGAGGATGCAGGTCAATGAATGCTTGAGTGATAACCAGAGTTGTACCTCTAGCACTAGATCCTTCTACTTTTCCCCTTCTGCAATCGTTTAGGCAGGAATACATTGTTTGCATACAACTCTACGAGCTCTGATCCATTTTTATCTCAAGTATAGCTGAAATTCCACCCGCATACACAAGCTGGGCAGTAAGCATAAAGATACAGTTGCTTCTTTAACAGGGCCTGTTTAACCTTGTTTCTGTACTCCTGAGCTCCTACCATGAGTAGAAACACTATTTATTAAAATATTGTACTTATTGTGAATGTGCTAGTTGGCTGTGCTTGCTATATATGCCTAACATCTGTACAGTGTTTTTTTCTGACAATTTTTTAAGATTTTAAATGTTATTTTTCCCAAATATCACCTTGTCTCTCTTCCTCTTACACTCATGATATTTCCGTCACCCAAGATAGACCAGGGTGCCACTTCAGTCGGAGCTACTCGGACACAGTTGCAGAAATTCGATCTGATGTGTCTCTGACTTTAAGCTCCTGCTAACCCGTTTTAAAGTAACCTCCTGAACCCTATCCTATAGAATAGTCTCTGAATTCTCTGTGACATAAACCCTCCAGATCATCCACCTCAAGCAACCTGTCTGCCCTCCAACACTCAGCACTGAAACACTAGAGATGTAACAATAAATCGATCTATATTGATTCATTGATTGAATGATTAATCATCCAGTTACATTGAAGCACACATGAAGATATCAATCCACCTGAAGGACGTCTTAGCTTATTGTGTCAGTGTAAACAGCTGGTCTATTTTTAGCATTCTTTTGTTAAGAAGAAAGCAGTTTTTAATTCATATTCCAGATTTGTAAGTTCCTACATTATACTATATATATTATCAAAGCATCACATTGATTGAGGATTTCTGAAGCAAAGTGGATCAAAATCGTACTGTGAGAGACTTTTTGATATCTATAAATATTGTATTTTAATCCAAGCAAATCAATATAACACCATAAAACTGGTGCTTTACACCCCTACAGCATACCACTCAGACTGCTGCATCTCTCCCTGTTAACAACCACAGCAACACCTTTTTTTGATCAAAGCCTTCCAGTCCAGCAGCTTATTCAATTTAATTACATTCCCCCTTTCCTCCAAAGTAATACACTGTCCCAAGGTTCAAGACTACCTCCAGAATCTTGTCATTTACAGTCTGGATTCTAAATAAACACAATTTTTTATGGCCATCTACTGAGAATTATTTGCATGTCGGTTTAAAAACTGCCTGAAGCCATGACAGATTTGATACAAACTTGTTATTCTACACATGTCTCTATGTGTCTTTAGCATAAACTGTTGGTCTGAAAACTAAGGCAAAAAATTACATTATGAATGTTTAGTTAATTTACAAACTTTTTTCACTTATTAGTCCTTTCGGACAGGTGTTTTCTGTTCTCAGGCTTGAACAGTCACCTCTTGACAAGAAATAACCTCTATTGTTTTTCCTGACAAACGTGCTGAAAGACCTACATGTTTCTGTGAGACTTAATAATATTCTCTGGTCCAAATATGTTTGATTGGTGCTATCAATTTTTTTTTTATATTTTTTTTTATATCTGACTAAGAACTGTTTCTAATTGGTTTCAATTTTTGAACATCAATGCCTTCATCTGCAATATCATTAATGACATTTTCTTTTCGTGCTCTGGAAGTTGTTGGATTTTTTTGCTTAGTTTTTTTTTACATTCATGCTTTGTATAAAGTTCTTCAATTTACACTGACATTTAATTTTCCTTTAACTAGAAAGTTTCTAATTTTTACTTAAATATTCATGTTTATTAATAGCTGGAGTGTTTGTCCCTTCTGATGGGGTTTTTAATCTCCTGCAGTGTATACAGCTTTTTTGCATTCTGTCTTGTGTATACCTTGTAGCTTTCTTCCGTAAACTTGTTTTTATCATATTTTTATTTCCCCTCTAATGAGACAAGAACATTCTATTCTATTCTATTCTATTCTATTCTATTCTATTCTATTCTATTCTATTCTATTCTATTCTGGTTCTGTCGGATGTTTCTTCCTGTGAAAAGGGAGTTTTCCTCTCCTGTTGCTACAAACATGCTTGCTGAAGTGTCAGTGAGTCGATGAGATCAGCAGGTTTTTTTGAACCAACCTGACTGTATGATCTGGTTGAAATGTAAAGTGCCTTGAGATGACATATGTTGTGAATTGGTGCAATATAAATAAATTGAAATAAATAAATCTAATTATTTTCTTCTATTCTACTTATTTTAAGTGCAGCAATAATGTATCTTACTAGGGCTGTCCATTAAGTGAATAATTTAAACCCAAAGCTGGTAAACTCAAACCCTTATATCCCACTGCAGTCCAAATTAGACATATGCTGCTGAAAGTCAAATCAATAAATGTTGTACTCTGTAGCAATATTGCTTTCAATTTATGATTTTTGAGGGGGAAATTACTTCAGTATTATTTTGTTGTTGGATTTTTCATGATATAGTATTTGGCCCATTAGACGAAGTTTTCTGATACGATTTTTATATCATACACTGTAAAAGATGAATGAGGAAAGATAGACGTATGAGATTCAATAAATATTGCTCTCTTGTCTACAGAAACAAAACAGACACAGCCCTTAGGGACACATTTACACAGCTATCTGATCCACCCCAATGTTAGAAAGCATGCAGAGCAGTAATTTGATCACTTTTAGATTACTTTGATATTTTCAATGTCTGATGAGGAAACGTTTCCATCACCACAAGCTGACCTTTGCAGAAAAAGAGCCTGGAGCCAAACACGACCCTGCAGTTTAGCCTGACTGTCACTGGTGCTATGTGTTGTGTTTAGCATTGATTAGGGGATATATGTGTTCAGTTTCATCAGGAAAGATGACCACTATTCAGGCGACTTTAGATTGCTGGAAGCAATTAGACACCAACAGCTAAAAATTAACCAAGAGTGTTGCAATTAGCCCTATAGCTTTTAACTGTGATGACTTCAATTTCTAACAATAATTAACAACATCTTACTTTCAATTGCTTATTTTATCAGTTTGTTGTCATAACCTCAGACTGTTCTAGGTCCATCATTAAGGTCTGGGTCCATATCATCATTTTATGATATTACATACAATACTAAATTTTAGATATGCAAATGTATCCAAACCCTTTACTTGGATTCTCCTAAATAAAATCCAGTTTAATCAATTTCTCTCAGAAATCCCTAAACAGGTTGTTACAGTAAACAGAGTATGTAGGAATGCACTTTAATTTAATTATAATATTCTCTGAAGGCCTAAGAAGTTAAGAACATTAGTGAAAAAAACACCATAATGAAAACCTAGACACAGAGCAGACAGGTCAGGGATGTAGAAATGTTTAAAGTAGGATTTGGTGTAATAAAAACATTCAAAACTGTAAATCTACTTTGACATTCATGTTCAAATTGAACACACCACCGTTAGCATACAAAGTGTTGGTAAGGTATCTTTTGTTTAGCAGGGGCTGGGAAACCACAAAAAAGTGATGGAATGATGGATGGATCTAAAATTGGAGACGACTAAAAGAAAACCAGTTTGAGTGTGACAAATACCTGACCATGTAAAGGACAGGCTCAACAAGGAGAGCAGTAATCGGGAAAAAAGATGCCTCAAAGTAGAGCTGCAGAGATTTAAACTAAGGTGGCAACATGTTGACAGGACAACACTTTGAAATCCTTGTGGAAGAAAAAAAAGAAGAAAGAGTTTTTTGAAAGAAAGTCTATAGAAGATCTATTTGTACACCGGAAATGTATAAATGTTAATTGAACTGAAGAGTTAAATCAACACTTTTAAAATGTCTGTATTGCTCAACGCTAGATCTAGTTGAAGTAACACCTTTAAGAGTTTTAAACAGTTAACAATGAAATAAAGTTGGAAACAACACTTCATTGTTGTCATTTAACAGTCAGGATGGAATTTATCTAACACCATGGTCCAAAGAAAATCCTTCATGATGATGAGCTACTGTACATCATAGCCACAACTGCCCTGGGGCAGACAGAAGAGAGGGTACAGTACACAGACCCCTATGGGCCCCCAATGGGCCCTCATCATCAGTGGACAATGCAGTTGAAGTGTCTTTCCCAAAGATGCAACAGGTGAGATTGGATCATCTCCAGATGCAGGATGAACTTTTGCATTCTATGCCACAATTGGATTAAATTTTTGGGATTAACAGCTACTCTTTACTCTAACTTAGTAGAATAAGACAAATTAAACAAGTGTTGAATAAACACTGTACTATAAAAATACATCACCAACACAGCAAATTATTGTCTTGGAGGAGAATCAATAATGATATGGTAGAAAATCAACTTCCTGGGCTATATAGCAGAGCACTAACAATGCACATGCCTGGAATGACATCATCCACAGTGGTGGCAGCATCAAAATTTAGGGATAATTTGGTCAAAAAAAACATGGAGGCTGATCAGGTGTATTGGGAAGATCACTGACTTAAATGAAGGCAACAGAAATAGTGATTGGTTCCTGCATACAAATTGGGGGAGATTAATCTTCTTCTTGGACAGTAACCTAACAGACAACCAAAGCTGTGATTTCCATATATTAGAACAAAATCCATGGGAAAGCTTAAAAAAGTATAGGCTATCTGTAGTGGCTCTCTATTATTACAGAAACTCATTGCATTCACTCAAGAAAAAGAAAAGGAACCCTTTATTTAATAATTACAATGACAAGATCTCATCATTTTAAAAGCAGGAGAAGCATCCCTTGCTGGTTTATTACTCTGGAAAGAAGAGAGAATCTTCCAGCAGGTCAAAGTGGGCTTTTTGTCTAACTTAGGATACCTGCACAATGATGACATATATTATTGATGTCATTCATCTTAAGTAAACTCTTTATCACATGTTCTTGTACCTAGAAGGAAATAACAGCCTATCACATTTGACTGGAGGCTTTTTTCCGTTCTTGACTTCTGTCATAATTACGATTTCTTTTCTTATGAGATCCTGATCTTGTAATTATATATTTTTTTATAATATTGATTTCTTTTCTCACAAATATGAGATTAGGACCTCGTGTTTATGAGACCTATTTTTTCCTGTCTTAGTCAATGCTATGTACTTCCGTACTCCAAGCAATATTATTGAGCTTTTTTTAGCAAAGAAAAGTGAAAAAATATGATCTAGATCTGCAAAGCTTGCGAATACATAAAAATGAGTAGAAAATGCTGCAAGAGCTTTTTTTTTTTTTTTTACAAACTATTAATATAGAGGGATTAAACAAATTAATTCATGTTTTTTTTTATTTCTAGTTCTATGAAACAATGAATTTCCTTTTCCATCCATTGCACTGCTATATACTACTTGCTCTTATTTTTCTTACAAAACAACAAAAACACTATACACCAGGGGTTTGATTCTTCCCTCAAAAGGATATTATTTGGCCATTAAGGAAGCTCTTAAACTTTAGTTTGGATAGATCTTGAACGTGGAGCTAAACATAGCAATCTGAGGTGAAAAATGATCCCTGCCTGCATCGATTCTCAGGAAGAAAGCAGGAGTAGCTGTGACCTCTGCTCTGCTCATCACCACCACCTTCCCACATGGATCAGACCTAAACCTGTCCCGTCCTTCCCGTGCGCTTTCATGGAGATCCTACATTACCTGGTTGGGATCTTGACCCTGAGATAGCGGTCAATCGCGATGGCCAACAGAGCCAGGATTGAACTTTGCGTCAGGACGAGCATGATGCACGTTGAAAGCAGGCAGCTGTAAAAGTGAGTCTCAAGTCCGATGCTGACCGTGATGGCCAGGGGGATGACGAGCGCTCCCACTGCAATATCCGCCACAGCCAAGGAGACGACGAAGCAAAACGTGGTGTCTCGGAGGGACTTATTAATTTTCACCGCCCAAACCACCATCACATTCCCAATCACAGAGGCGACAGCTATCAGCACCTCCATGCATATATAGAGCCATGAGACTCCGTCAGCCATTTCTGCAGATCTCTCTGGTCACAATAATTTAAAACCTTTGTTTTCTTCTCTTGGTTTCAAATGTGTTTTTCAAATGTAATGTACGTCCATCAGTGTCATTGCGCCCATATTTCGTACTGTGGATAGCAGATGTATGTCATCAGCGAAAAATCCAACTGTTTAAAATAAGGAAAGACGCGCCAGAGGATGCGGAGGGTTCCTCTGGAGCAGGTGCTTTTGTCCAGCGGCACTAGTGGGTCGCTCCCGCACCGTTTCCTGCGTCTCCCCCACTTGCTTGGATACTCTTGCTTTGCCTGAGCTCAGCATCCTGTCCACTTGCTTCGGTTTCCTCAAGAAGTGCTTGGTGTTTATCAGCCTACGTCTTTTCTTTTGATAGAGCACGTTTTAAAAAGCGTCGCTGGTGCGTCTTTTGGCAGGAAAAAGCGCACAGATGCAGTCCATGCGCAGACGGCTGCGCGCTCACTGTCCCGCGTCTCTCTCACTCCCCCTCTCTCTCCCTCTCCTTGCTCTGCTTTTGATTTTTGTTTCTTTCAGTAAGGAGTTAACGACAGTTCCATAAAGTATGAACCTGCTTAACTGGCTTCTTCCCTTTCGTGGAAGGTTGTGATTTCTCAATTTAAAATGAATTCCCTATAGCTTTCTGCGGAACTATCAAAGGGGGACTATCTCTCACACAATGCTGGTCTCAGTTGTTTCTTTTTAAACACAACTTGTGAGTCAGTTGAAAACCCTTTAAGAGATTAAATCAAACATTTACAGATGAAGCTTAATAATTCCTGAAAAGTGTAGACACACATCCGTTTAAAGCTCCACACATTATAATTTAAGAATTTAGAATCATTTTGTTGGTATTTTTACTGAGTCCTCAAAACTTTGTAGAAAAACTTCATAGTTTTGAGTAAAAAAAAAAACATAGGCCTACAGTAAACTCGTTCTGGCATGGATATGTCATCTCTGTGGTAGGTACAGTGGTGTAAAAAGTACACACATTTGTTACTTAAGTAGAAGTATAGATACTGCAGTTTAAAAAACACTCTGGTAAACGTTGACCTGTTTACTCAAGTAAAAGTGTAAAAGTATGTGCTCCAAAAACTAATTAAAGTATAAAGTAACCTTAAAAAAAAAACAGTGAGATGCCACTATCTGAATTGAAAGCTCAATTTTTCAACTATTTCGAAAAATTCTTGAAGATAGGACCAAGGATGAGAGCTGTCTTGTTGGTCTCCGTCTCCCGAAACGCTCTCGCCTGTTTTGACCTTTCAGACATTTCAACATCTTGTTCTGAATCCTTCATTGTAGCATGGCATAGACAATTCACGTTTGCAGTTTGAAGAACATCTGCTTGCTTCTGATGATTTCCTTTAGCTAACCAATGAGGGTTTGCATTATATGACTCATCCAATTACACTAGTTTTCACTAGATGTGGATGGAGCCAATGATCTGCATTGGATGGCGCACATGATGTGAAATAAATATTTATGAACATTAAACCGAAGCCAAGAGTAACGAGTAACGTTTGTCTTAAAAATGTAAGGAATAGAAAGTACAGATACTTGTGTGAAAATGTAATGAGTAGAAGTCCGAAGTAAGAAGAAAACTAAATAATGGAGTAAAGTTAGGATACCTAAAAGTGTACTTAAGTACAGTATTTGTACTTTGTTACTTTACACCTCTGGGTATGTGTTGAACATTGGACATGGTGTTGACATTTGTTGGCTCTAGAGATGTGTTATAAATTCTTAAAAAGGATGATTTAATCTTTTCAAATAGTATGAATAAATAATTTTATCCAATACTCAATATGGCTTCCTGTATTTAGTTGTTTTTACCAGAATACCACCGTAGGTATTTTATCAAGTTCTCTTTAAACCCTTATTTGCTTCCATAATTATGACCTAAACCATTAAATAAATCTCCAAAGTGAGGGTGGAGATAAACAATATAAGACAGAGCAAGAAACATTACAAAAGGAACTGACAGCTGACTGAATGAGTTGAGAAGGATATAAATAGATGAAAAGATTTACTGATGAGCTGTACTGTATTTGTGGGTGAGGACCAGCGACAAACTTTATGTAACAAATCAATGAAGATTTTAAGACTGAACAAGGAAAAATAGCAGCCACAGCTGAACCAGAAAAAAACAACAACAAAAAAGACCTAAATACAAACAAAACAATATATAGATTACATTACCACTGTATTTACCAGATGGGGATTTTCTCCCCCCCCCCTCCCGAAAATGTCAGTCTAATCATGGCAAGATATTTACGCTGTTTTCGATAAAAAGATAACTATTTCTAAGGAGCTGCCTTATATCATGACTGTATGCAGTATATAATTATTTTTAAGTGATACAAATATAAGCGTACAGACTGGAGTCAAAGATTCAACAACTTCTCTGGAAACGTGAGTCAGCAACCAGATCCTCTTCTCCAAGTTCACGAAACAAATTTCCCACTGAGCCTGAACTAATCGCTGTGTCTTCCCCTCACTTTTCAGTTCAGGTTGAGCAACGTTCAGAGCAACACTTCTCTCTGCATTACCTCTTCAATAAAAACTATTCAACCTTTTCTCCTGGTCTCCCTGATTGGTCTTTAACATTCGGGTCTGAACTTTAATAAATCATGACATCAACAGCATTTTATGTTAATAATTTGTGTCTTTTTCAATATTAAGGCTACAATAAGGTTTTTGACATTATCACCCTGGGCTAAATCCACCTCTGGGTCGTTTGTTGCTGAAAATCTCTATCTACATCTCAGCTGACAAAGACATGTAATTCCAGTTCTGCTGCAGTTAACTATAATTTTTATGTTTGCATTTGCATTGAAAAAACAATAACAAAACCTTTTCCTTATATCTTCAAGCGAATCTGTTGGCATTGTAGACAAAGTCTGATAAATGTGAGAGAGACTCAATGACCCCCCATGCTGCCTTTGTTGCAGCTATCTTTATCATCCTACTTGTTGCATGATCTCAATTAAGAAATGAATAAATTGGGTCACATAGGAACACCAAATGTTTGTAATTGCTAATTAGAAGTAGATTGACCTAACAAGTAAATACATTAAACGAGAATATAATTATATTGCATTTAGCTACATTAGGGAAGCAATAGTCATGCTAGCATGAACTGATTTGGTTAATTCATGGCATTTCTCAATCACCTCTTGAAAAAAAAAATCAAATGTTGATTTTTCTCTCTATTTTATTTTCTTGTTAGAATATGGTGCTGCAATGAAAGATGGAATTATTTTAGAGCTTTGTACATGTTTGCAGGGGAGCAGCACAAAATACAGACAGTTCTGTACGCCAAGGCTGCAAACCTTTATCTCTTTAAGAGAATAATGAAACAAACAAGGGCAGTACTGGGATCTGGTCCAGTATCTTATCTTGATGTTTTAGGTTCAAAGTCAGAGATGTGTGTGGGCTAAAGCAGGAATGATCACACTGTATAAGCTGAATATGTGGGTGTCACAGTGAACTTTGCTCACTCAAATGTTCTATGGAAGATAGAATACAGCATTTACGCTTGACAAGTTAATTATTGCAGAAAAAGATAGGGTAACAGTAAGGTGAACATTTATGTATATTGAGAGATTATTAGGGCAGGAAGTCCACTGAAAACACTGGAGCTGAGTAGAAGTGGTCAGCATGAGTTAGTTATAGAGGTCAGCCAATAAAGAGGGTAGCAGCCATATGGTCCTGCTGCACAAACTCTTACTCACCTGGGAGATCTTAATAAGCAGGATCCAAGCCATAGATGGAAAAATCAATCATTACAGAGCATGTTGTAAACTAACACATCGGTACTGCTGACAATTACATACAATAAATTCACCCCTTGCAAGTATCTTAGTTTAAATTACAGCACAGTCTAAACAAATGTTGTTATATCATTGTGAGCCAGTGCTGGGCTCACATGTATAACTTTGTTCTCAGACATTTAAACATATTTTTTCTGGGTGTTGTAAGCAAAAATTGAGAACATTAGTACAGCTTTGAAATAAAGTATTTCAGACATCCCTACAAATGCTTAATTTAGTTCAATGTAACCCTGAAATATTTCATACCACTTATAGATTAATTTTACATCAATTTTAATTCAATCAATTCAATTCAAATTATAATAAGTCCTCATGATGACTAAAGGACACTATTTCCTTGATATAGACATTATTTGGTGAAGTGCCCCAAATTATTGAGGTTGAGAGATCTCCTTGCCATCACCTTAATCTACTGTTCCCTCCACAGTTTTTGTATAGAATTTAACTTCGAAGCTGGACAATTCCATAAGGTCAAAATCAGTTTCAGTCAGAAACAAATTAAAGAATTACTTTAAATCTTTACCTGACAGAGGTATGAATAGTTCTTGGCTTAACCGTTTACCTCTCCTATAATGGAGGTTTTTGAGGGATTTATTTTTACAAACACTGATATGACAAGACCGGTTCAGTGACACTAACTTCAATGCCCGCAGAATGTGAACATCAAGAAATGCTTCAGTAAACATTTGTCAGATTTTTCTACTTGGGGTTGAACAACCAGTGAGGTGAAGCGTGCTACAGCTGCGTGAACCAGATTCTGCACTTCAAGTACAATGCAATAGAAGAAAGTGTTTTCATACTGTAGCTTCATTTGGATCCAGACACAAAATGCTGTCTGCATGTAGATTGCTTCCCTCTCAAAATATTTGTTTGATACACATTCATTATATCTATCTTTTTGGTTTTGATATATTTGTTGATTATAAGTCTGTGACTAAACGATCTAAATTATTTCACCCCGTCCTTCAAATGAATATGCACCATCTCCTATTCAAGGATGTTTGAAATGATTATCTTGTTGTAGAAACCACTCTATTTTTTTTATAAATTCACTGATGAGGTGTCTTTCAAGTTCTGAGATGTAAAGATAATAATTTCTTGCCCTGTCAAACAGGCACCCTTTTTGTAAGCTGGAATAAAGATTTTGAAAAATTATTTATATATTTTAAGAGTTTTCTGCGTTGAAACCATTTTTGCTGGTAACTACATGTTCTTCATGCCACTTGCTACCATTTGAGCCCGTAGAATAATGGATTGACCTCATTCCTGAAAGCTTAAATGTTTTTTGGGATAAATCCTTCAGCTTTTTCTAAAGGATTTTTGTTTATTGAGACAAACACTTTTGTCAGTGCGATACCTTTATTTTAGGCTATAGAAATCATTTATCTCTGAAGAACTTTACAGACAGCGATGTGTTCTTAAGATACAGTAATTACTTCTTTATTGTCATGTTTTAGTGTTTAGTTTCAGTGAGACTAAATGGCGGCAGGGGCAGGTAACAGTTGGCAGAGTGAAGTGCGAAATCCACTAAAGAACAAAGCAATGTGAAAATTCAAAAGCACACAGAAGGACATAGAGAGTATGAGAGGGACTGAGATTAGAATGGAGAGCAGGAGAAGCTGAAAAACGGCTGAACTAAACTAAGAGGCTTTAGTTGCGGGAATGTTGATTTTTGGAACA